CCAGCAGATCATGAGGGCCACGAGTAGATTGCTTCGGCTGCCCGAGCTGCTCAAGGCGGTGGCAAAGTGCAAGCTCAGTGCACACAGGCACTTCTATTGGTTTGCTGATGAGACAAAGTCTCATCATGTTACATTAGAGCTCTTTGTTTACTGAGTTGGCGTTTCACAAACAGTACCTGTCCAGTAAAAATAAAACAGCTGGAATGACTATTGCCCAAACGGAAATTAGCCTCCATCGATTGTCAGTTTTAAGATATAAACGGCCAAGGTAAAATCCATATTAGAACCCTTATGTTCATAAGCAGCATCTGGCTACACAAACAGAAGAATATAAATTAAATTTTTTGAAAAATTGTTTTGTTCAACTAATTTAAGCAAAACAGTTATATGATACTAACCATCTTTGCAGTCATGGAAGCTTGTATAGTAAGTTGAGCCTGGGTTCTAAACTAATTAATGGGGTCTGCTCAGGCACTGCAACACCAGAAAGATAAATTATTAGGCTTATCAATCTAATTAAATACGTAAAGTAAATGCAAGTAGTTGGAAATTACCTCGTGTCAGATTGTAATTGTCGTGTGTTTGCAAGCAAGCAAACCAGTCAGTACCAAGTATTGGCTTCAATATGCTGCAGATGTATTTTGGCAACAAACTCACCACGTGTAAGAAACATTCCTCACAACATTTCATCAAACATGTTGCATAAATGCCTTTAACAAATCCAGCTTTGAAGTGGTGGCAGAGTTTCAGCTTTTGAAGGAACAAGAAAACACAAGGTTTTGAGTGAGTTTGGGTTCCCAAATTCAGATCCTTAAATACAGCATTAATGTTATATACAATCACATGAAAGAATGATCAAGCAAATCAATGATTACATCACAATCTCTTTCACAGCAGGCAGTTAATTCATCTTCCTCTACAGAGCATTAACAGGCTGAGTAATATTGTTAATTACTAAAATATCCTTACAAATTAATAAATTATAAATAATTATTTATATAATAATTACTTAAATTTAATTATAATTAAATCTTAGTTCGTTCGTGTAGAGAAAAAGTCGGGAAAAGAGACACATGGGGCCCTCAATATATATAGTAAATAATTTTTTAATAAAAATAATCCTTCATTCTATCTCTTTTCTATTAAATTTTTTTTATTCCAAATTAAGATTTTTAACACAATTTACAAACAAAAATCAATAAAATATCTTTATTTGTTTTTAAAGCATATATCGTATTAAAAATAAAATTCATGAATAAAATTATAATTTTTTAATAATTTATTAAAAAAACTTATAATATGTCTTTATTTAAAATTTAGAAGTTTAATACTATATATTTTATAATTTTTTACTAAACTATTGTTTTTGTGAAAACTTATGCAAATCAATTTCTACACTCGAGACATATTCATTTATGTAACAAATCACTATAAAGTTATATGTTTTCATGTGAGATCAAGTGTATGAAATAATTTTATGTGGATCGAATATAACAATATATTTGAATTTAGATTTTTTCCAACATAAGGTTAAAAGTCCATGCATCCAATTTATAATAAGTAAATTTCAATTACATCATAAATAAAATCTTATACTATTAATTTTTTTAAGCAAACCTTGACAGTACGAGGAAAATTTATTAATGGAAAAAAAAAAAAAAAAGATACACCTAAAGAGGGGAGACGTAATGAGCCTTACCTCTCAAAAAACGAATACAATAAAAATAAAAGAAAAAATGATTATTCATGAATTACAAATAATAAACATAAAAGCTTTACACACACCATTAATGTTTGTAATACCACACACACACACGTGCGCGAATGAAGAACAAATCAAATTATTACAATCTCTTGCATCGACATCTCAATATATTTCATCATAAATTCTTCTTCTCTTCTTCTTCCTACAAAAACAATAAGCATTTAGAGATTTTATTTCGACTCAATTTATAAATAATCAATTACTCTAATACTACAAATTAAAAATGTTTATCAAAATATTTGAAAAGGATCATATACTTTAGGAAGGATTTTCAAATAAAAAACTAATTAATTAAATAATAAATACTAAAACACCCTACAAATCATATAATGTATAACTAATTTTTTATGTCAATAATTATTTAATTTAATTGATAATTAATATTAGCTTTATTTTTAAAAATAAAAGCTAACAAGATTGAATTTTTCCTATCTCCATAGCAAAACACACACTTTCACTATCATTATGCCAACATCGTTTGCTATCACAACGGTATAACTACCATTGAAGTCGATGGATGAGCTGCCAAAGACAACCAGCATCACCAAAGCTAGTGACCATCTATTGATCCATTAATTTATCACTCAATCTGTTCAAAAGTTTTCTCATTCTTAATTACAAAAAAACAAAAAAAAAAAAAAACAAAAAAATATATGTTCAGAAAATAATTAAGCAAACAAGAGAAATGGCAAGTTTAATCACAGCTGCCACAAAGGTTGGTCTGTTAGAGTTGGAATTTCCAGAAGAAGCACTTGGAATCCTAGGCTGTTTTGTGGCTGGAGCCCCAAGATTTATTCAGGTATTTAGTTTACTTTATAGCAATGGTTGTTGTGCAGAGGCGTAGCAAGAAAATTCGATGAGGGGTGCAGTATTGAGTTGGGGATAAATATTAGTTCCCATCTCGAGTGCAATACACAAGAATGTGGGTAATTCCTCGACCCTACCGAATAGGGTAATGCCCGGTTTCACCTTGGCAGGATTTAAAGACCCCTAATATACTAGTTACAATAAAGATAGACTGACAACGAATTTAACAAACTTTCTCTCACAAACCATCCGTGATAGTTGATATTGGTTTCTGATGAATTAATCAGGCGGGAAAATTCAATAGAAACCAATTATCAGTTGTTACGTTAGGTTTGCGAGAGAAAGTTTGTGAGATTCGTTTGTCAGTGTAATATTGTCCTAATAGTTATGTATTGCTGCGCTCAATGAAGGTATTATTTATGTACTCTTGAGGAAAAAAATTATTTATCCCATATATGTAATACTAAAAGCAATTAATTAATTGTTTTGGTTATAGGCTAGTTCACATCAAGATGCTTAAGCTACAACGGATAAGACGGCACAGTGTCAGCACTTAACTTCTTTACTAAGTTGTGCGGCCTTAACTCGTCGGAAATGAGTCAAGCAGCCTACGCTCACACAACCTCACAGGCTAAAAGTATTTAAACGAGAGGAAGTATAGAGAAAATATAAACTCTGTATTGCTGGAATTCCAGTTATGAACTTTACATGGTGGAGTTGCCTATTTATAGGCTCAAGCTCCTCAAAGTAAATGTATGACTAATCTATGTGCTTCAGCATTAAGAAACCCAAGGTGGCAGCATTGGTGCAGCCTTGGAAACAAAGCTCGTGGGTGGCGAGCATTTACGCAACCTTGGAAACGAAGGTGCTTAGTTGCCGAACATGGCTGCTGAGTCGTTAACTTAGCTCTTAAGTCTGCTTCACCCTGAAGTATACTTATCAGTAAGCAACGTGACGTGCAGCATGCTTGAGTCAGCAAGCAGGCGGTCGGACAACAGGCTTTACAACGAGACTGAGAGGCAACGAAGACTGGTGGAAATATCCAACACAAGGCTGCCTCTACTGCTGAACAGTATATATTTTGTTAATTTCATTTTTTATAATTTATTTGTTAGTATATATATTTAAGGATATACGTTAAAAAAGACTACTCTTGAGGTCAATAGTTATAGTATTATAAAACGATGAAATTTTATTGAAATTGATTGATCAATGTAATAACTTTTCTTGGATACATTTTTTTTTTTAAATAACAAATAAAAAAAAAATCAGTATATGAAGAACCTGGGGCTTGTCCTATGGTAGGTGGCCATTTTAACGCTTCGTATTGTGTCAGATTAGGTAGACGTTGATGTAGGAAACGATTACGCCGGCGCCCATCGTATATCGGGATAGTCAATGTTTCTATTGGTGATCAAAAGACAAATAAAAACTCAATGCAACTGAATTGATTGAATTTTCGCAAATTCTATAAGCATATAATTGGTGAAAATTTGTGTAGATGAATCAAAATGCAAAGATGGCTGGACAGGTGGGTGAAACAGCACAGGATGTTTCTGAGAAGGCAAAACAAACACTGGAAGGACCATGGGTTCGCTAAGATACAACTCAGAAAGCTAAAGAATCATTGATGGGCAATGCTGAAGCGTCCAGAAACCGTCAAACAACATGCTGAGAAGTGAAGAAAAACATGAACATGAGAACTGATTACTGTTTTGTTCTATTATCTCATATTAAGTTTCACTTTTATATCTATATATAGTTTTTTTGTAGTAGTGCAGATGTCTCAGCACCGTAAGAAAGTGATGAACCATCTGTTTGAGTCAGCTAGAAAACATCGTTAACTAGCTCACTTTATATAACTGTTCGTATTTTAAGTTTAAACCTAAAGAAATTAGCTTATCTTCTTTGGTATTGGTGGTGCTATTCTTTATGGAGTTCTGATTTGAGTTCCCAGAATTCTCTGGGGCTGACAACAAGTTTCTTCGATTGAATGCATATCTACTTCATGTGTTTGTTATCACATTCAAGGCATATTCATTGAAAATATTCTCATGTAATTGGATATAATAACATATTTGACTTTAATTCTTTACGACAATAAGGTTAAAAGTGTCATACACCGAATTTATATAAGTAAATTTTTAATATATTGTAAATAAAATATTATATTATTATTTTTTTTAGCAAACCTCGATGGTACGAGGAAAATTTTATTATTGAAAAAAAAAATAACACCTAGACAGAGGGGGACGTAATGAGCCTTATCTCTCAAATAAGATTAATACAATAAAAAAACAAAAAGGAGAAAAATGATTATGCATGAATTACAAAGAATAAATAAAAAGCTTTACACACCATTAATATTTGTGAAAAATATATATACAAATCAAATTATTACAATCTCTGCATCAACATCTTAATTCTTTCAAAAGAAGTTCTTCGTCTTCTTTTTCTTGTCTTCTTCTTCCTACAAATCAATCACATTTAGGAGATTTTTTGACTTAATTTTGGATGGTTTATAGTTTATAAATAATTAATTACTTCTAAATTAGTGCTACCACAATCAAACCCTGGATGACCTCCATTGACATTCTCTGAATACTGGTAAAACCAACATAAACATGGGACTTAAGATTAACAAAACACGACAAAAAACTAAGTAATAAAATTTATTCAACCAAACTAGATATAGGCTACTGTTGCTTAAAGTTTCCGCCTAAGGACAGAAGACAAACAGATCAAAATGCTAAAAGAATAAAAGCAAAGAACAACATAGTACAGGAATAACTGGCTAACATCTATCTATATTTTCATTTAGGAGATGTGTATTTCTTTCGAGGTCTGTGTGTCTCTGTTTGAGATGGAAGAAGAAAGGTAAAGTTATTTACACATATATGTAGCTGTATCACCTGGATGGACAAGGAGCCAGGAACCACAGAAATGAGGGACACCCGATTGTTTGTTCCCCTCCGAAAAAGTGAAATTTGATCAATGAAACTCCTCCTTGACAGGGGTGGTGGAAATGGCAGAGGCACTATGAGAAATGCATACGAGTCGAACAAAAATTCATTGCAAATTAAATATATGAACACACATGAAGGGGGAGGGAGAATGACCCTGCAAGAATTCCAGAAGAATGATCTAGTATCCAACTGTTAATGAGGATGATGACTAGAATTACATACGACTCTCAACCTCCGAGGCAAGTCTGAATTTCATAATTCTATGCAGGAAAAGAAGAATAAATATCTCCACATATCAAACAATTGATAATAAACTGCACGCCTCACTTGGAATGTCTTGCGAAAAAAACACATGCACAACAAACAAAGCTTGTACTGGTACACAACCATTGTATGCATAAAGCTAAAAGGGAAATCTGATTTGAAATCATGGAACATAATTTCAAAGTAAAATGAAGGTAGAATATTTTACCTGAGGAATACAATAGCCATAAAAAATAAAGGTAGCATCCAGACATCCAAATACTCTTGTAATACTGCAATAAGGAAGATAAATATTTGTACTAATATGGTATAAATATTACAGGGGAAATTAATGCCATTTTTATTCTCACAATTGACGTGAACATAAAATATGGACAGTAAAAAATTTAGAATGTAATAATATTAGCAGTAAGCAAACCTAACAAAACTGATCACAACTCTTTTGCCGATAAGCCATGCGTGCCTTCTTGTTTTCCAAGTGAAGATTTACAAAAAGAATCTGGAAAATATATCAAAAAAGTAATAAGATGACCAGCAATAACTTCTCATAATATGTTAATATTAATTCACAATTCTCTTCCCCCAAGACCACCCCACCACAACCACAACCCCACCCCACCAACCACAACCCCACACCACCCACCCCCCCCTCTTCTCTTCTTAAAAAAAAAAAAAAAACAAGAGGGGACTCAGCTTGATAAGGATTGAGGGTGTTCTACATCACAACTATACCCAGAAAGATGGAGGAACATAATAACAGACAACCTGGTTTAAAAACTTTAATCATTGATAGGTCAAATACCTCAACATTAGAGGAGTGAGAGCAGCTATCACTATTGGAAAGATGGCGCCTAAAAGACCATGAGGGAATTCAGTCAAGTTCTGGAACCACAAAGTCCCACCCTGCAATAAATTCCATGGACAGAGCATCATACATTCTATGCTCCTATAGCAAAAAACATCACATTCAAAAAAAAAAAAATGAGACATATGCAGGGGAATGAAAAGCAAAAAGAGTTTCATGATGAGAATATTAAAGATAAAACAGAGATCTTGGCAACCAAATTAGAATGGTAAACTGTTTCATTCACTATAAAACTAATAATAAGACAACAAAAACTATAGAAATAAGATGTGTATTGTCATATGTATCTTATAAAATTTATGCTGCATGTTGCAAGAAGCATGGCCAAATTGTATGTTCAGAAACATATCAAGTCATTGTATCCAAAAGAAGTAATACAAATTGGTAACTCTCAACGAATTAATCTATGAATATCAAAGACGATATTACTATAGTACAGTTAATACTATATATTTATTGTTCTATACAAATATTTAAGCATGTTAGTGCTTACACGATCAAACCCTGCATCCCCTCCAGTGACATTTTCCGAATTCTGGTCCCACCTAAGAGAAACATGGGACCTGAAGAATTGAACAAACACAACAAAATAATAAGTACAAAATTTATTCAACCAAACTATATAATGGCTACTGTTGTTTAAAGTTTCAGCCTAAAAGACAGAAGACAAATATATCAAAATACTAAAGAATTAGAAAAAAAATAAAGCAAAGAACACATAATAGTACAGAAATAACTGGCTCTCTATATAGATTCCAGCTTTGAATCTAACTAAAATCCTCTAACCCACACTATCTATTCTTTCAGTTAGAAGATGTTTATTCTTTCTATGCTGTGTGTCTTGGCTTGAGATGGGAAAGAAAGGTAAAGTTATTTACAACATATATATAGCTGTGTCGCACCTGGATGGACAAGGAGGCAAGGCCACAGAAATGAGGGGCACCCCCTCGCTTTTGCTTCCCTCAAAAAGTGAAATTTGATCAATGAAACTCCTTCCTGACTGAGGTGGTGGCAATGGAGGGGCACTGTGAGAAGTGCATATGAGAGTCAAAAAAAAAAAATTTATTGCAAATTAAATATATGAACCAATGAAAGGGAGGGAGAATGACCCTGCAAGAATTCCAGAAGAATGATCTAGTATCCAACTGTTATAAGACATGAATAGAATTACATACGACTCCAACGTCTGAGGCAAGTTTGAATTTCATAATTCTGTGCAGGAAAAGAAGAATAATATCTCCACATATCAACATTCATAATAAGTATTGCAGCCTCACTGGAATGTCTTCCAAAAAAACACAAGAACAACAGAAACAGAAACTTATACTGGTACACGGACCATTGTGTGCATAAATGCCCTTACCAACCTTGACGGCATCAAAGACAATGATACAACATTGAGCATCAATAGATGATTTTTTGAAGAAACATTCAATTCAAGGAAGAATCATTCTTCCTTCTCTCTTTATGTTTGACCCCAAACCTACTTCTACTCCTACTCCTTTAAACAACAACAATCATGATCAGGAGTCTATACATCAGATACGGCTTTAAGACACCACAACATACCCCAATATTCTGCACGCTCTACACTCAAGTTGGTAAAAATGCCAACTAACTTAATTTGTTAATAGTTCATGTAGCTTGACAACCTCTCATAATTATTAACAAGCCAGTAATCCAGCATAACTTAAAATTCCACAATACATAAGGTTTTACAAATCCTAATCCAGATATCCTCTTCGGTCCACCTTCCACATAGATATCACACCTTCAAGAATGAAACTAGCATATAGTAGAATTACACTACTGCATTTGTGTTTTCAAGTTTTATTCTCTAGCGAATGTGTACTGACTAGAACTCCAAAGAAACGGAAGTAACTAGAGTCACAAACAATTGCAAGTGAAACGAAAAAGCAGACTTACATTTGGGAGATAACTCTTCTATCTTTCGCAGCTTAAGAAGTGCAAACCAAACAGGAAGCAACGCAAGTCGAATGCCAAAGTCGAAGTAGCAGTATTACCCACCTGAAAAGTCCTTATACACCAACTAATTAAAAAAACATCTCAAAGTGAATTTCATTCACCATGAAAGGAAGATATAAAAGAATTTAAAAGAAAAATAACATTTCAAAGAAGTTCCTATCTATAACAATGTTTACAATTTTATAGCGCTTTGTGACATTTCCTCTTTATGAACACATTTACACACAAAATAGCTAGAGAGAGCAAGCTTTACCAAGGGAAGCCAGAGAGATTATGGTAGGGATGTTTGAACAGGAAGAATCGACTCTTCACCACAGCAATCACTCCGTCACAAATGTTAACGTCTCCGCCGGGTCCGTCGTCTATTGAGCGGAGTGGAAAACGAAACCCATCGGCGGGTGCTTGAAGTAGGGCGACTCTGACGGTACTGGTGGTGGTAGCGTCGCGTGGAAGAGTGATAGAGCAGCGGCGCGTGCGGTGGAGAGTAATTCTTGTTTAGACTCTAATTTCAATTCCTAAAATTTTTAAAAAAAAAAATAAAATCTTTTTACAATTTAAGAGATTCTAATTTCAATTCCTAGAATTTTTAAAAATTAAAAAATAAGAATATTTTGAAACGTGGTTATGTACTATAGGAAATTTTCAAATAAAAATTAATTATGTAAACATAATTACTAAAATACACTAAATTTAATATAGGTATAAACTAATTTTTTTATGTGAATATTTTAATTGATAATTAAATATGACTTATTTTAAAAATAAATAAAACAGTATCCATCAAGATTGATATATTCACAATCAAATGAAATATTAAGCAAATCAAATTATCACAATTTTTTGTGTTTTAAACCATAATTTATACATTTCACTCTCACTTGGATCCGATTCTTCTGTCACATTCCGCCTACAAAACACATAAACTTATAATATAAATACCCACTTAAACTTTATTATTTAAAATGTATAATTTCAAATATAGAATGTAAAAATTTCACACAATTAATATAATGAGATTTATTATATAACATGATTTATACCATTTTCACTCTCTACTGGAATCCATTCTACTGTCTGATTCGTCTACAAAAAACTATAGCTTATTAATAAAACACCCTTGAACTTTATATTTAAAATGTATAATTCAAATATAGAAATATAAAATTATCAACAATTAATATATAATTTATTATTAATAATAGATTAAAAAAAAGGAAATGAAAACAATATTCAAAATAAAATTGAACTTATTATAATTTTATTAAGAAAAGAAACAAATTTTTTATAGGATTAAGAGATTTAAAAAAAATAATAAAACAACTTATTTGAAAATTAATTATAAAACAGTCAATTTAGTGTGACTTTGTGTTTCTTTTGGGTAAGAATTGAGAGTGAATTTCGAAAAGAGGTTTTGTATGAGGCAAATGTTTGTTTTAATTGGTTGTGTAAGTAGCAGCTATAAGTATTGTGTTTAAACAATCACAAACTAGAAACATAAAGAAACCTAGAAAGAACAATCCCATCCCCCTGTTTGTGAAAAAGATGCATAAAAAAGTCAAAACATTACCAACCGGCCCTGTTAGCTTTTAATATGCTAGGCTGAATGTTGATAAGCTTATTCATTGTATCTCAATCTTAAAACAATGGATAGGGTTCTCTGTTGATTTATGTCATATTTATATACATTTATTCAAATAAAGTGCATCAATGAAAGATCATCAATGCAAAATGGTAAAACTTTACAATATTAATTACAACATGTAATGTAGCTCTTTCATCATTAACTACATATCTGTTCATTGAAGTAATCTGCACTGTGGCATTCAAGTTGCCATTCCACGTTCTTCATCCACGCTCCTCAAACACTTGGTTAAGCTTGGGTGCACTTGCTCTCCATAACCAAAGTTCTTCATTTTTTCACATCCCCATAACCATAGCCTCTCTAATGCTGGGTATTCAATAGTAATGATCCAGAGCTAAAACAATGAGTTGTCTAGAATAAAGGTCCAAGTAGTCCAAACTAGGAAACACTATCCTCTCTATTGATGCTTCTTTTTCTCCTTTCTCTTGTGACTATTTCTTCTATTGTTGAGCAAGAAGCTATTCGAAGCCTTTTGAGCTTTACCAGGCATTTGACAATGGAAGGGTGAAGAGGTTTTTTAATTTACGACATGAATCTATCTTATAGAAGTTAGGTTTCCCAAACTTGGGGAGGTTATGGTTGGTCTAACTCCTCATCCAAGCTTCTTCTTCTCAAAGATCTCTAAATTATCGCAATTAGTATAACTATTTCTTCCAGACAAATACGGCTTGGAGTAGACTTGTACAACATTTAACATGTTGGGCACCCAGACACTTTTAAACGTTTTAATTTACTAAAAGATGGGGTGGGGTGGAGGTTGCCCATGACATAGTTCAACCAAGTTAGGGTTAAATGCATATGCAATTCCTCTAAATTGTGGAAAGTTGAGTTTAGTGTCCATTCCATTGTATTTAGGAGATACTTTCTCTGATCACATGATCTGATATTAAAGACTTCAATGCATGAATGTTGATAAAGTTATTCATTCAATCTCAAATCTTAAAACACTTTACCTTTGTTAGCACTTCACTTTCTCAACTTGGTCACCATTATCCAAAGCTCATTCCTTCCTTTTAATCTAAACACAAATCAATTTGTATTAATATATACTGTTACTCTATTGAATTGAATGTCATATTTATATACATTTAATTCAAATAAAGTGCATCAATGAGAACATCATCAATGCAAAATGCTAAAACTTTACAATATTAATTACAACATGTAATGTAGCTCTTTCATCATCAAGTACTACATACCTGTTCATTGAAGTACTCTTGCACTGTGGCATTCAAGTTGCCATTCCAACGATAATGCAATTCTGGAAGCACTTTGTTAAGCTTGGGTGTCACTTGCTCTCCATAACCAAAGGTCTTCATTTTTCCACATTTCCATATCTCTAGCCTCTCCAATGATGGGTATTCAATAGTATATGATCCAAAGCTAAAACAAGTGAGGTTGTCTAGATTATAAAGGTCCAAGTAGTACAAACTAGGAAACACTATCTTCTCTATTGATGCTTCTTTTTCTCCTTTCTCATTTGTGACTATTTCTTCTATTGTTGAGCATCCCCATATTTGAAGACTTTTGAGCTTCACCAGGCATTTGACAATGGAAGGGGTGAAGAGGTTTTTTAATTTATCACAATCATTTATTTGTATAGTAGTCAGGTTTCCCAAACTTGGGGAGGTTATGGTGTGGTCTAACTCCTCATTCAAAGCTTCTTTCTTCTCAAAGATCTCCTCTAAATTATTGCAATCATCTATATCTATTTCTTCCAAACAAATAAGGCTTTGGAGTAGACTTGGTACAACATTTAACATGTTGTGGCAGTTCCACACTCTTAAAATTTTTAATTTACTAAAAGATGGGGTTGGAGGTTGTCCATGACATAGTTCAACCAAGTTGGGGTTAGAATACATATACAATTCCTCTAAATTGTAGAAAGTTGAGTTTGGTGTCCATTCAAATGTATTTAGGAGATACTTTATCTCATCACATGATGTGATATCAAGATACTTCAATTCATTGAACCCTTCTTCAACTAGGTTATGGCTAATACTCTCTAAATTAGCAATTTTCTCTAAAACTAGATACTCAGTTCTTTTGAGCAAACCTTTAACCCAATCATGTATTTTTGAAATGTTGGTTTGTGAGACACGCATATTTCTTGAGTATCTACTCTTTTCCAAATAATTATCATTATATTTGGTATAACCTATTCTTAATTTAAATTTGGATAGGTTATTTGGCAATACCAACAATTTTGATGAGAGGTCAAGGTTTGAAATAGAAATCTCTAAATGAGTCAATCGAGACAAGGCTTCTAACTCAACAAGATTGGCATTGCTTTTCAAATTCTCACTTTCAGATTCCCATTGCTTAAATCTATTAATGTACAACTCCTCTAACTTTTTAAGTGACGGTATAACGCCACGAGGTATTAGTGTTAACTCCTCACAATTATTCAAATCTAATAACCTGAGATTATTTAATTGGCTAAAGGAAACAGGGATCTCTTGAATAGAAGATTCGGAAAGGCTAAGAATCTCTAGTTTATTTAGACTTCCGATCACTGATAGGTCCCCTAAATTGCAACCACTAAGATTTAGTGTTCTAACAGTTAAAAGAAATGAAAGTGATTCAGGCAATGACCAGAGTTTAGTTTGACTCAAATCTAAAACTTTGAGATCTTTTATTTCCCGAAAGAAACAACTAGGGACAACCAAATTTGTATTTTCTTGTAGTAACAAAGCCTGTAATTTTGGACATTCCAACCCTTTAGGTAGCTCCCTAATATTATTTGTCATCAATGAGATACATGTGAAATTTTCAAATGTATCTCTATTTGACCACTCTTGTAAACCAAGGCCAGCTTTCGTCATAAATCTATGGTTGTATTTAGGAGCTATCACTAATGCAAAATCACGGATAACATCATGCATTTTAACAAACTTTTCACCATCATCAATTAAGAGAAAAGAAGAGGTGATGGTACTTACAATACCAAATATTCTATCTCTGATATCTTCTATCTTCTCATCGATGTCTTCAAACCACCTTAAACCGATCCCGTATCTAACCAAATCTTCAATTCGAATTTTGTAATCCTCTGGAAATAAGCTACAAAATAAGAAAAGTGTTTTTGCCTCCACACTTTCGAGATAAGTGAAGCTCAATTCCAGAGAGGAAATAATGTTTTTTTCCGTTCCTGGGATGTTTGTTGGGGTGGACCTTTTAAGTTGTCGCAAAGCATCCCTCCAAACAGTAGTGTTCTTGTCCTTCAATGCTCTTGCTATTGTCACAATAGCAATCGGCAAGCCATCACATTTAGCAGCAACATCTCTTGCAATTGGGTTTATTTCAGTTGTTTCGACATTCGAGCCAACAATTTCTCTAAAAAGAACCCAAGATTCTTGTTTCGATAAAACTTCAACTGTAAATATCTTTTGACAAGTCATTTGAGTACACGCAGTTTTGCTTCGAGAGGTGATAACAATTTTACAACCACGATGATCATTCCCAAGAGGAATACCAATGTCATTCAATTCAATTCTTTCCCAAATGTCATCCAGTATTACCAGGATGTGCTTCTTCTCCTTGATTCTGTCCCACAAGAAACGTGCTCTTGCTAATTCAGAATTAGTCGGCAAAGACTTTGTTACACCTAACATGTCAGCAATGTCGCCTTGAATCTTCATAATACTCGGGGTTTGAGAGACAACCGCCATCACTACTTCATCATATATCTTTTCTTCTTTTGCTTGTTGGCCAATTTCTTTCACTAGCGTGGTCTTACCCACGCCGCCCATCCCACATATTCCAATTATGCTGACATTATGATCATCAATTAGCACCTTCACGATTTGCTTTTTAATTGAATTTCTAGATTCAAAAGTGCCTGAAGAAAATAACTTCGATGACGATATAATTCCAGCCGGAGGAGCAGGACAAGACACACTCTCAAACTTTTCCATTTCTTGGAGCCGATTAGAAATCTCCAGAGAATGCTTCTTTGCCTCCTTACTAAATCGATAACGTTGTTTGAGATTAATGCACCACCCTTTGAGACACCTCTTGTTGGCTTTGTCATCTTCCAAAAACTTTTCAGTTTCTGCGGAAATCTTATCCGCTTCTGCTATCCAGCTTTGAACAGTAGCGAAGATGGTTTCTCCATTTCTTTCAGCAAATTCGATTTTCTGTTGCACCATGTCTCTGCTATCTGCCAGCTTCTTAGCTTGCTTTTTCAAGTTTTCAATGTTGTCGTTGTAATGAACCAAGTAACCAAGTTGACCGCCAGCAGCTACAAACAAATAGTCCACGACCTTCTCGGCAATTAAAGAAACAAATTCCATGGCCTTTTTTTTTTTTTTTTTTTTTTTTTAAATTTTTTGGGTATGAGAGAATTCTGTTGAGTGGTTGAAGGATAAAATGCAGGATTTGAAGCAAGGATTTGGGAGAAGTGTTTGGGTTTAGTTTTAAACAGAGAAGAGGAAAACACAATCAGATGAAAGGGTTAATGAAAGAATGAATGGTTGTGTGCTGTGAAATGATAACAGCATAAAAAGCAAAGAAAATCTGAATGAGAAGGAGAAGCAAGGTATGTAATTGATTCCATCCTTAATTTGCCTTTGCTCTCAAGGTTGCTTGGTTCCATCCTTGTTACAAGATCATTCTTTTCTTTAAATAAATGTTATGAGTTAGAATCTGTAAGAAAGAGATTTATGGAAATATTCTTGTTCTGAATGACTGGTTTGTCTCCCTTAAAGAAAAGTACTAAAACAAGAAGGAATATATAAAGCAAAGAAAGGTGAATGATGTGAAGAAGTAAGGTATGAAATTGATATTGAAAATAATGCTCATTCTTTTCTTTCAACAAATTAATGTTCTTGGTATGAATTGATTTATTCTGTATAAGAAAATAAATCTTTTAATATTCATTTAGGCAAGAAGATAATGGTGAAGCATCAAAAGCAATCCTTTCATTCTTCATTTGCCTTTGCTCTCAAGCTTGCTTCAGTCTTTTCTATTATAACATGTTCAGACTTCGAATCTGTAAAGTATTCGAAATCAAATATTCTTGTCTTCAACAAGAGAAGATCAACGTACGCTTTTTTAAGCTTGAACATGAGGATTACAATCAAGGTACATTAATTTTAGCATATAAAAATAAGATCCTTAAAAAAACAATCACGTAATCCACAAAAGCAGTTATAAATGCCCTTAATATTAACTTTGACTTTGAATTGAATTGTTCCAAATTTGTATTGATTAAGGCTTAATTAGCTTCACGGCTATTTGATTTACCTTCACCAATTTTATGTTCTTTAACTTACGTACCAATTAATGGCTTGAATTTTACATTCAAATTACCAACTTATTTCTTATTTCTTATTTCTAAATAATGTTAGTATTCCTTGAGGCATATTAATCCCAAAGTAATAAGGAGTAAGATTGCGGTTACTGAATCCTGAAGGAATTGTATAACCAAGAGGGTCGATTACCGAATTCGTCACATCAATATTAATTACTGAAAAAGTGAAAAAGAAGGAAGGAATTTATATATGCAGAAGGGAGGTATACGTAATTGATGTTGAAATGAATATGCTTTTGCTTGCTCTCAAGCCTTCTTGGTTCCATCCTTACAACAATTTTTTATTCTATAAGAATACAATATTCTTGTCTTCTAAAAGAAATCTAGGAACATTCTTGTCTTGTGAAAGACAAAATGCAAAGCAAGTTTATGTTGTTTAGATCATCCTTCTTCTTCCTCTGCAAAAAATATTTAACCAACTTTAGATTGTACAGAAACATAAGAAGAATGATATTTGATGTTTTCAACAATTAAGGCCTCTATGTTCTGTTGATTTAGCACTTGTAGTCGAAGTGATACCATTGCAGTTAGAATCTAAGTTACCCAATATTACTACCACCTATTTGCCTAAACGAGAAACTATTCAACACTTGCTCCAATTTTCAGACTCCAGGTTCATTGATATTTGATGAGCGTCGGCCCCAGACCATGCTAGCAGTGCAATAGCAACAATTGTTCAATTAAATTCAAAAGATATCCTAGATTACGTAAGGATAAAAGTTACATGATACCTGACTCATTAAGATTAACAATTCTTTAAGTTTAGGACTGTAGAAACACTTGAGACTGGGCTACGAAAAAGATATGCAAGAATCCTAAGTGTAAAATAAACTAAAATACCTTAACTCTGAGCAATGGTAATTTGATCTCTGATCTGTCAATAATCTTCTTGTAGATCTCTCTATGCAATTTCTGACCTAAAATAAAATGAAGTTATAACAATATATACTATTAATGTATAGGCATATATTACACTAGCTCCTGGAATTACAATCACAAGAAAAGTCAAAATAACCCTTAACACTTTTTATAAAATGTTCAAGAACTGAATTTTGGTCATTGGGATTGTAAGATTCATCCTTCAATACAATTTGTGTCATAAAATTGTGTTAGCCGTATAAAGATCTTCAAAAGATGAAAAATAAATAAATTACGTTTGCATGTTCGAAGGGCCTCAAGAAGTTAAAGGTATCTTGGTTGGATGATATTGATTAACCTATACCACAATGCATGAATTTCAACTCAGTGAAAACAAATAAAACAATGATACTGCCTGTTAAAAAGACAAATTAATGTTGTTTTTCCCAATAAAAAACCTTTTTGTCAAAGAGAAGCACATGCTTTGGCTTGGATTCTCCATCAATCAATGATGTTCCAATTGAAGAATTTCTCTAATAGGAAAATGAAGAGAAAACAATTAGAAGAATTAAAGAGGAAGCAGAGCTTACCCTACATAAAATTCAAGCAAGGAACTGGAAATTAGTCTCGAAATTTCGGTTTCCGGATTCACTAATGAAATTTCATGACTTAGCCTCAGATTTCATTACCAATAAGCAAGCTGTGATTTAATCCTTCCTGCATAAAACCACAGCAAGGTTGAATATGACCACCTCCAGACTTGTTAAGCAACATGGAAAAGAATACTCTTTTTAAGTTTCAAAATTATAAAAGATTCCAACTTTTTCTTCTATGGGCTTCATGGGATTGGGATGACACTAATTAAGGAATCCAATTGATACACATGATTTCTCTTAAACTTGTAAAGCAACTCTCATCTGAATAACAAAAGTTTTAGGATAATGTATATTCCAGAACTGAAATGAATGTAAATATCAAATTACATAGCAACGCATCAAAGCTGAGCATAATGGAACCGGCTTGCCAGTTGCCAGATGCTCTCATAATCTATTTCACAATTCTGTTGTCCTACACCCACCAAAAAAAAAAAAAAAAAAAAAAAAAAAAAAAAAAAAAAAAAAGAAGACATCAGTTTTAAATCCCTGCAGTAAACATGGAATTCGATAAATTTAAAGATAAAACACCTTAAGAGAGAGTTCTCAGCTGGATTTTACGTTCAACCGATTTGGAAATTAAGAAGACTGCAGAGGTTGATGCCATGTTGTTGTATCAACCTGCATATCAGATCAAATTTAAGTTGCATGTGTATCCTTCTTAGCCTGTCAAGCTGTCAAAATTTGATTGAGAGTTTGAAACAAAGCTGCCGTCTGATGATATGTTTACACACCATCAAATAAGTCCAGTTCCATAAGAGTTCTTGAAGTTTATCAATCAGCTGAAACTGGATAAAAGTAACCATCTGGAAATTAAGCCACATTGCTCCACTGGTTAACAAGCCACTTCATCCATGTAGCCAAGCAATGCTTTGACAGGTGTTCCAATAAATCCGCCTACAAAACAATGCAATAATCAGATAAAGGTTTATAGACTAAAAGAACTTATGTCACTATCTGCAGTAGAGTCAAAAAGATGAACAGCCATAATAAAAATCACAAATGAAAAGATAATCACAAAAAATAGGGTAATATGTCAAGATTACTGGTAAACATTTTACAGATTTGATAGAGAAGAGATTGAAGTTTGTTACTAGCAAAAGGTTTAGGGGGAAAAAAAAACATTCTAGTCTTGACTCAAATAAGCTGTGAGTAGCACAATGGCCGGTTACACTTTCGAATGACCACTTCCGGTTGCTCAACAGGTGGTGTATAGGTTGCTGTTGTAGGTGGAATGAGCTGATTGGCAGCTGAGGTTAAAGCATTATCAAGCCTGATATGTTGCATAAATTCGAGACTCTAATTAGTAAGTTTGTACATGGACAAACAAATTAAAAACAGAAACATAGAAGAATGAAACTTACAAATCCTGTCTTACTTCTTTTCAACGAAGCTAATAATATGAAATTTCATAAACGAAAAATGGTTCAAAGGCGCAAGCAAGGTTTGAAGGATGATTATATAAAGCTCAAAAGCACAGCTTGCTCAAGGGATGATTCACACCATTGAGGAGTTGGAGAAAGAAAAGGAAAGAGAAAACTGTAAATCTACCAGCATATAATTGTGATTATACCTGAGGGGAAGAAACAACTTTAAAGATGAAAAGTGACAAAAAAGACTATAGTGCCTGAGCCGCACATGAACCTCATTTTGACAATAGACCCAAATATTAATTTGGCTACGGTTTTATAGAAAGTGGATTTGCAGAAAGTTTCCCTGCATAGGATACTTTAAAGCATTTTTTGAACAGTACCTGTAGATATTTCAATAATGTAAACATTATGTTATAGGATACTTTAAAGCATTTTTTGAACAGTACTGTAGATATTTCAATGATGTAAACATTATGTGCTTCTTCAATCAATGAAAATAACAGCTACTGACCAAAAGTAAATAAATAAAAAGAAAAAATATTAACTGTGACAAAGTTGGAGTCTCATATCTTAGTAATTATGAATTATAAAAGAAAGTTTAAACCTGAAAGCAATATCCATTTAAAAATGCATGAATTATTAAGCCTCTTCGGATGTTTCTTCAAACATGTAGCCTATAGCACACCATAACCAAATCTCAGCAACCACAATAACACTGACATATTATTAAAAACGAGTAAGAAAATATGTCAACGGATCCTCAGAGTTCACAACAAAATGCTATAGAGTAGGAAACAATAAAAAAAAAAAAGAGATCATAATACATCACCTCAAGCCCAACACAGAAGGGCAATTCTGCTTCTTTATCCATCTTATCGGTTGATGAATCTTTATTGTCCAAGTATACTGGTAATCAAAACATCCATACTTGAAATCCTTAAGAGTACGACCTCTTTTGAAGCTTCCAACTTAGTTTCTCCCACAACATACCTGGGAACTGGTCATACACCTTAAAATCTGGGCATATTTTTCAGAGTTTCAATAAATAAAACCCTTAATCAGAATGAAACAGACCGTAAACTTTAAAACATAATTCT